TTCTGCGCTTATCGTGTGCCTGCAATATAATGCGGTGTTAAATTGTCCCATGTTTCCAACTGTTGAACTCAGTCAACGTGCTGAGATGCATTTTCAGATGTCGCATGGCCGCTTGTCCGGCTAGGCAGTGTGTGTCATTGTTAGGAGGATCAAGGAGGCAGCCGTGGCCAGCGACGGCCACCGTGGAAACTGTTGTGACCCTCCGCCCGTGGGGTTTTCACACCAGGACTTTTTCTATGGACCAAGTCATTATGTCTATTGACGCAATCATACTCGAACTCGTCGAAGAAGCAAAGAGCGTTGTTTCTACGGAAGGCGGTCGTGTTGTAGCAAACACGCCTCCGAGCAGTATTCCGAATAGGATTCTAATCTAGTGCCGATCTGACAAGGCTGGACCAATCACCACAGAATTCGTGCTCTATAACCCCTTCTAGCTACGTAGTATTGCAGTCCCATCAGGCTTGCTTTTGCTTAGTCTAAATCTTGGCATTTGATTCCTGGTCTGGAAGTTCCCAGACGTGTTACGATGAATGTTTGGCTGAAGAACGATTACAAGCAATTCTCTGGCCCTAATGTGAACGTGATTGTTAGATCGCACAGATATCAGTAAATATAGCTCTTGTCAAAAGATTTGAAAAGCTTATTTGAAAAGCTCCTTTAGTTCCTTATTGGGCAACCTGTATTTGATTCGAAAGAAACAAAAGAAACACAAAGGATAGACGACAGCAGCGGTTTTGCCAACCTCCAACCCATTCCAACATCCAAGTCTGTCCTAAGAGTGAGTGATGGGCTTATGAGAAGAGGTGACATGTATGTGAGAAACTTCTAGGAGCTCGGCAAGGATAACCGCTTTCTCCCCGCTCGACCTTTTGAGTCTGAACATGAGCTTTGCCCTAACAAACCAGGATTTACCGTTCATTTGCTTCAGCATGGAAGAAATAGATTGCTTGGCTGGACTGGAAAATTCGCCCGCGTCAATCTTAAAGTTTGTCGGGTCCACTGTGAAATATATCCAGATGAATCCGTTGGAGTACTCGAAGGAAGCCGCACTCGCGTTCCATTTCGAAACCAGCGTGTTGAATAATGGCCCGAAGATCGTGACTGGAAGGCCAACACAGACATACGTTGCCTCATCAGGGCTCTCTGGGCGCACGGCCTTGAGTACCGATTTAGCCTCTTCAATGGATCTTGAATCAACAACGACCGAGTCGGATACCCAGAATTCAGTTGACCAGCGGTTGGAAGAAAGAGGGCCTCTCTGCAACAGGGAATGCTGGAGGCCAAAGAGGCTTCCGCTGAGACATTTTGTTTGCCTCTCTTTCTTCGCACCGAGAAGGATAATCTTCAAGTTTGCTGAATGCGTTGTCTCCAGAATACCGATCTGATAGTCATGTGGCTCCAGATTCATGAGATGCGCCTTTGAAAAAACATGAATGATGCCATTCTCGATGGATACGAATTTGCCTTGGCTATCAGCTTTGTTTGGTGGATGACCTTGTGGAATCATGGCGGAAGAGAGTGCGATGTTGATACTCCGACCGCAGAGCTTTGACTGTTCCCATTTCCAAACAAGCTCCTCGGTCTTAGAATATATAAAAGGGGCTTTGGTGACTGGAACTTTCGAGGAGAGATCAGCATGAGGAACATGCTTCCTGCTTTGTTCAGCATCTTTACAAATAGTCATTGGAAGTCAAAATACGTACCCGTTCGTAGGGTCCCAATGCGACAGAAACGGACGTTCCAGTACTTGTAACATCAAGTGCAGTATCACACAGTTCTTCCCAGCAAGATCTTGTCGTAGTAATCCGCAGATACTGGTCTCTGTCGACGTAAATGTGCAGAATCAGGTATAAAGTTGGCCGTCTTTGGGATGAGATTAGTGTATAAGACTGTATGGGAGCGCCTTACAGTGAGTGATATTCTGACGGTCTAGGATAAAAAAAGTGCACTTCACGGATGACCAAGCGAGTTTAAGTGTTTCCCCGTCACAACTTGAGTGTGCTCACACAGAACAGGGCTTCCATTGTAACAAGGTATATGCTGGTGAGAGTAGCAAGCCACGAATGTTGGCCAAACTGTTCTAGGTTACGTTGGCATCACGCCAGGCACTACTTATCGCTCAACGTTGGATACGAGCTGATTAAATATGATTCTTTCCCACGACCAGAGACAACACGGTCAAAGCGGGCAGGGATGCAGCTGATAGATACACGGAGACTTTTTGATCTGTGAGTAGCGTATGAAAGAAGGAAGTACTGTATGCGATGAAAATGTTCGTAGAAATTCCAATCAACTTATCTGGATTTTTGTACTGGTCATCAAGCGCGTCAATTCATAACTGTGGCTGGAACGTCAAGTTACAAGGCTACACTACTTCAGTGAGATCCTTCCGAATAAACCTGAGGTTGAATTTGCTAGGATTTATCACATTATTGCGGGTAGAAGTGTTGAGCGGATGGAAGATGTAGATGTTGGGCGCTGCCATACTCTGGCGAATCAGACGCGTGCAATGAACAAGAAGGTACTTGCTCAGATCGCACTTTGGAGATACGACGCACATATTCTCACCAGCGTATGGAGACAAGACCAAATGGTTGGGAAAAATATTAACATAACGAGCCTCTCGGTGAAAAGCGATCACATCGCTTAGCACGCATCAATATAAAGACCGCTTACTGACAGACTGGGATTATGCACAGTTCAAATACTAAGTACAAATCAAGTATCCTCAATAGTACCACTTATATGTGGTTTTTCCTGCTCCCAGGACCGCCATATAACCAAATATTGTACAACCGAACTCTCATTCTGTTGGATAATGCGTTTGCTCAGTATGCTTATTGGTACTTTCTGGCCATTCTGGAGATGTCAGCCCATTAACTCAAAAAATTCTCCTCAAGCGACTTACGAAAACAGAAGAGTCATTGCAATGCATGTGGCAATGCTGGCTGTACTGGGAAGACACAGAGGATCTGTTCGAGTAGGCGGATTGCCCTCCGTCGGATACCACAAATGCGCGTTCTTCACTTGTTTCCGAAATATCATCCTCGGAGTTCTCAGAGACTGATTCTGAAGCACAAGAGTCATTGAGCTCACTGTGAGAGGACATGACTTCGACAAGTTCACTTTCTCCTTTCGTGGCCATCTTGGACAGGGACACTAGGTGTCAGAAGACTCAACAGAGTATGAACGAAATGATGTGTTTGACTTTTCCAGTCTGGCGCGCCGCCCGCTTATATAGCCAAAATGTCTATTTGATGACTCTATGGTCCTGACCATCTCTAGGCGGTGTCCCAACGGGCGCAGTAATTATTGGAGGGCGGATGGAAGCCCCAGAGACGTGCGGGAGTAATTCAGCCCAGCTTATGGTGCAAACCCAGTAGACAGTTGATTCACTAGATTCCTAGTGAGGAAGACCTGGTGAGAGGCAGACTTGTTGACCAGATTAGGCGTTGAGAATCGTTGATCGATTGACTTCCCTGCGTATCATGTATGCTTCGTTTATAGCCCT